TAAATGTGAGGCATTAGTTTTTAGTCGGGGGTATACGAGCCGGGAAAATGATTTATTTCCAAATCCAACCGCCAACCTCCAACAGTTTTGCTATACAGAATTCCGTGTGTGCCCGGCGCATCCACACACATAATTTATACGTAATGCGTGCGACGTGCGCGCGTGTGAGCATTGCAGCCGCCATAATTTTTTCCTAGCCAAACACCCCCCGCAACACCCATCCATGCTTGGCAGTAATCTTCAGCGGGTTCTTTTCGGCGCGTTGTTTCCACTTCTCTTCGCGGATAAACCCCTACATCATCATTACGCGCCACCATTTTCGATATAATCCGGCCTTTCTGCGCGAGCATAACTCTCGTCATCCTGACAAAGCAGCAAGCAGCATTAGCATTTACCAAGCAAGAAAAAAATGCATTATTCTATTTATTTTTGTGTAAAAATTCAATTTGATTGATTTTTGTTTGGGGCGGAATTTTAGGGGGAAACTTTGCGGGGTTAACCACTGAAATGCGTCGATAGTTCCGAAGGGTGCTGCGTGACAAATGCCATTAAGAACTTCATCAACTATGCTCGAAATGGTCTGGTGAAATTGACAAATACTCGCTTGGTTATGAAAAACACATTATGCGGACTGTTTCATTGTTTTAGCACAAACCCTGATTGCTACAAAACGTTAGGGGGTAGAAAATTGGGTTTTTATGTCCTTCCGCACAATGGTGTAATAACAATAATAATTAGTACACAAAACACACAAAATTAGAGTAAAACAATTTGTGTTGCGATTTTTTTTTATTTGTGGCAGAAATTATATCCAGTGTTTACTAATGCAATTTAGTTGTAGTGTTAGCAGTTACCATAAGATATTGTGTTGTATTTGATGGTAATTACACGTTTGAAACATAATAAACATGTTTGCAGCGTACGGCGGCGCATTTCGCCACCGCAAGTCGTCAGCAGCGATGCGGCTGGAGGCGTTTGCGCGCCCGCTCCTCTTCGATGACGATCGCGCGATTTAGCGTCTCGTAATGCTCTCTGCACTCGGCATCGCGCGCGGGCGGCTTACCTCGCGTTGCCGGATATGTCGTTCGCACTATCAGATTACGAGCTGTCGGGGGCGTAATTCGCGCTTCGCTCCACATGCATGGAAACACACTTATCGCGTACCATCTCGCCGGCATTCATTATTCAGATTGAGCGTTAGTAAGTAGCATTAAGATTCGAAGCATTACTACCGCTCAATTCCATCTGGAGAGCTTACTGACAAGAATAAAACATTAAACAGGACAAAAAACATGCATTTTAACATCAATTTTATATTTTTCCGGCATAAAACGTAGCTTTTTATAATGCATGCGGTCTGAGCACTGAATCTGACCGCAGTCCGTGCATGAGTTTGATCAAACCGCAGTCCGTGCGCTTAATTTGACCGCAGTCCGTGTACAAAAAAACCCAAAAAATCAAGTTTTTATTGAATATTTTCATAGAAATCAAATATTATTCTTAAATTCACAATTAGTTGAGTTATTATCAGTCCCTTATCAGTAAATATGAAAAATTTAGTAAAATGTCAGTTTGAATTTTTTTTTCAATTTTTGCAATTAAAAAACATTTTCAAAACAAATTGTACAGATTTTCAGCGTCATCATCATGTTGCACGTGTTATTATTAAAGGGGGCTTTAATGGAAATTGAATTTTATCAGAGAGTTAATTGTAATTTGCTGATGGAACAGAATCCGCGACTGGGATTTTCGATAAATTTTAATCAAACCCTTTTCATTCAATGCATATGCAACGCATGCTGAATCTACTCGACCGTATAATAAAGCAATAAATTAATATGATGTACAAATTGCATATAGAAAAATACAGTTTATTTTGACAAATTGTAATTTTAGAATCGCTTTTTCCCTTTGTTTTATTGTCGGATTTAGTTTAAATCGCGCGTGCTTCGTTACTGGACCAAACAAGCTTTGATTTTTCAGTGCAATCCGTTCTACGGTCTTATGAGATCCGATTTGGTGGACTCTTTTGTAAAGTTTAGGATAATCTGGTCACGTCTACGAATTTCTGCGCACATGAAGGGTGGACAGTGATTGAACTGCTCCGCATGACGAAAGTGGTCCTGATATTTTATTCAAGCGGCTTCTTGCAACCACCACGACACGCACTAAAAATCGAGTAATGCTAGTAAATGTGGTAGTTTCGGGGTAAATTTTTTGCAATCGTCCGTGAAATGTGAAATGGTTCTTTAGGTTAGGTTCAGACGGCGCCAAAATCTAAATTTTAACGTTCCGCATGATCGCCGCGGATACGACGAGGGAAAAAACTCGACGCGAAAAAAATTTGCCACTGAGAGAGCTTCAATTTGTGTCTCATGAGGGATTTCGATTATCGTTCGGTCTTATCTTGTTTTTACGAGTCGGTGGCGCGTGGTTTTTTTACTCTGTACTGCGTCTCGGAACGTGTTTTCAAATTTATTAATTTGCGCAGTTTGGAAAAGCTCCCTGGAGGCCAGTCTACGCCGATGCGAATTGTTTGATTTGAATTTTCAATTTTACCAAGATTTTAATGTGATTACAGTCGTCATCTTTAATTTTAATTTTTGCATTCTCGCTGAATATATATGCAAGTGTAGAAGTTTTAATATTACGCAAAGTGCGAGCGCAAATATTTTATATTAAAATTGTTGATTCTGCGCAGAGGCAATGTTGGTTTTTGCTCCAGGTGGAATCAAAATGTTTATTTTACTTGCTTGCGCGCTCGCTCGAAGGTAAATAATTTTTTAATGAAATAGTTTTCACTTGCGTTTCAGAGTTTTTATTTGGATGAATAAAATGTACGCAAAAGAATAGAGACAAGGAAAAAATTCAACGATAAACACGGTTGAAGTGTTAATGTGTGTAGCAGAGTTTTAGAGCAAATCTTAGGCAATGGTGTCTGGTGCACAGAGTTAATTTTCCGCTTGGTGACATCCGTAACGGATGTTGCTGCAGTCAGTTCGTCAGTAGCGTGACGGTTTTATCCGCAGACTACATTTTATTCTAAGAGTTACATAAATATTTATTTACACAACGCTACATTACCAAAACTTTAAAAATAACACTAAAAAACATTAAAATTTTTATTGATTTTTCAAAAATTTTTGAAATTTTATGAAAAAAATTAAGATTTTTCCAAAAAAATGATTTTGCAGATTGAGACATTCGGGCTTTAAAGCTCCCGGTGGCACCTATCGAATTTGCGCACCCCGACAGCAACGAAGTTAAATTGAAATGATGTTTTCATTTTCAAAGGTGGGGTTGCGCCCCATGCCGCTCACGCCGTGCGTAAAAATTGAAATCGCCGCCGCCGGGCAAATGAAACAGCAAAATCGGAGCCGCTACACACATTTTCATTACTCGTTTCTGATTGTCACAAAAGAATATTTAGCCTTCAACATATATAGCTTCCGGGTTATTTATTCAGTTTTTGTGTCGTCGGCTTTGAGCACAAATAATATTTAAAAAAAGCAAACTGATTTTTCTGATTATTTTTTTTACCTGACGCGACAATTCCTCAGGGTATATTTCACCCTTGTCGTCGTTCCCTAAATTGAATCGCCGTGTATCGCCGAGTTGACAAATTGAAATGGCCCAATCACTACTGACCGTTTTCATTCCGATCTCAATGTGTACTAAAAGTCTAAAAGTCTGTAAGCCCTTAAAGTCTGAGCCGATTCTAAGTCTAAGTCTGCGACTCGACGCGACTAACTACACTTTACTGTATTTGTATTTTTTTCTTCTCTTACTTTGTGTATCTTTACAGTCGGTTGTTTTTTTCGTTCCCGGGCGTCGTTTTTTCTCAAACGAATGCGCATTTCTCAAATTGCGCTCGAGTGCGGAATTAAGAACGATCCGATATTAAAATTTAATCTAAACGAGCGACTTTAAACAGCGTATTTATCTTTTTCGAAAAGAGATGGCGCACACGTTGAGATTCATCTGACAGGCGAGGAAGACTTAGCGCGCCCGGCGACAGATACAAATAGAGCGTTATATCTCTTTAGCCGAATAACAATTTAAAAAATGACTCCGTTTTCAGTCAAATTGAAATAAGGCGAGCGGAACATCCGTTTCAAGGCGTAAGACATATTACGGGTCGAAAGTAAAAGAAGAAGGTTGTTGTTACTCACCGAGCCCGGCGTAGAACCTACGAATAATGCATAAATTGTGTATACTCACGGAATAAAGTTCACGTAAACAATTGCATATGAAAAATTTAATTCTACGATAGAATACAATATTTTATTCACGTTTAGCGGTTGCGAACAAGTGCAATTCCCATCTTGATGAAGATGAAGATGAAGATATCTGCACGCGACGTAGGTAGATCTCGTGGAAATCTGCATGAGCGGCGCCTCCACCACCTTAATTATGCAAAACCGAGCGCTGATGTTTCCATCACTTATTTACCAAACAGACGTGTCAACCGTGGAAAATCGCGCAAGTTCTCCTTCGTTATTTATTAAACGTCAGCAGCGCGTTGTGTTTCCTCCTGCATCCTGCCGACGACATTGTAACTGATGTTGTCGATTCATATCCCTACACATAAACATAAACTTGCATCATTTACCTACATGCAAAACTTGAGAAGCGTATTTTTAAAGGTTTTCGAAATTTTTGTGCAAATTTTGATTTATCCTGTATAATGTAAAACAAGACTTGAATTTATTCCATTCGATTCGGGCGGGTGGCTGCTTCGCCATGCAACACATTCAATATTTGAAGTCGAAATATGTACACGCGATCGTCGTCGGCGAATACCCGAGGAACAAGCCGCCGATCGGATATATGTTCGACATTTTTCTTATCCGCCCTCGACGTGTACTAAAGACGCATATGTTGCAACGTGCCCTGAATATAAATTATCGATACATTATTATTGTCCCACGAATACTGAATATACAAAGTGTAACAAAAAAGAAACAAAACTTTTGCTTAAAAATTTATTTTTATTTCAGCTGCTTCCGGGAGTTTAGTAGGAGTGGCAGAAGGAAAAATGCGTTTTCCAGACGCGACTAAACCAGTCGTCGAACGTCCATATTTCGATGACGTAGGACCAAGAAATGTGACAGCTGTAGTTGGACAATCAGCACTTCTGCAATGTCGAGTTAAACATCCCGGAGAAAGAACCGTAAGTGTACACTTTACTAATCTAGTAACATTGATCGTGTAGACACTTAATTCTAATTTGGAAAACCTCGACTCCCTCCGTGAAACCCGCGGAGAATCGGGGGTTTAAGTTTGTCCCCAAACAGAGACAAACGATCCTAGAACCGTGAACGAAACACGTCCGCGTAAGCCGGAAAACTTACTAGCGAATGGTTTTCGAGTGCGCGCGGCTATTTTTTCGATTTCAGTGCATAAAGTAGTGAATTTATGCCCGCGGCTCGCGTTTTATGCGCTTGCACGAAGGTAGTTTATATGCAGCGGCCCGCTTGATTAAACTTTTAGAACCGAAATTGTTTTCCAAAGGCAATAAACTTGCACATACAACTTTTAATTTAATTTTTACGATTATACCACATTTTTTACATCTTTATCTTCAAAAAACCAACGAGACATTTTATTTTTTGTTATTATTTAAGCCTCAGATGTAGACTGATTGTATTTTTTTAACTAAACCTCCCTTAGGCAATTAGTCGTATCGTATGAGTGTCTGGAAAAGAATTGATGGCGTAATAAAATGGATGAATTGTCGTCGTGCGACCATGTACGTAATCGCACACCGACGCCATACGTTAGAATATATTTGCGACGACTCAAGATCCACCAACCCCGCCACCACCCCCGGTTTTCTGCACCCACGGTTAGCGTAGTTGTCGTTGGGGTTGTAGTCGAGACGGGCGCGCACCGTTCTATATTTTATTGAAACCATAAAAAAATTTAATACGAGATTCTGCCCCCGGGGTGGATTTTTATGCGCACGGAATAGCGCCCCTTAAATTCGGATCGCTCGCGTGTGGAATTCGGTTGGAATAAACCTTCCGAGGCGACGTTTATTGGGAGGGCATTAGTAAAGTATGTAAAGTCATCCCGCGAGGATTTTTATACCTTCTCCATACCCACACCCTTGCCTATTTTATATGGAAATATGAAGAAGTTCACTCCGTGGCCGGCTGCCGGCTGCTGGCGAACGATATTCAATTCGGCACAATTTACAATATTTCAGGCGACACAGCGTGCGCCAACTTTTATAATTGCCACCCCGGCGGGCATACGGGAAACTTTTCCGAAACGCAGCTTCGTACATCGATACAATTTGTTTTTGCAATGATTTTGGCTTTAATTACTTTCCAAACTTCAAGTGATGTTAATGTTTTAAATCACAAATTGAGAAATAATTTTATTTTAAAAAGTTATTTAAGAAAAACGTTCTTTTTTGCTGCGGTAAGGAAATGAATAGAAAGTGTTCGATCCCGTGATGGACTCGCGGCTTTATTGGACTAATCTGACGCAATTTGCGGAAAGTGCGCTAGTCCTTTTACAGCTCCTCGGGATCGGGACCAATAGTAAATCTCCATGTATCAGAGATTTAGTGATTCTCTCGGCCTTCCTTTACTTCGTAAAAGAATTTATGTTCCACCGCACAAGAAAGAAGGTTTCTTTAGTTTTCTAGGATCTTAAAAGTTTCCTTGAATCCTTGTTTTTTGTCCTGGGAACAAACAGAATAAGACATGTTTAAAACCATCACTTTAAATGATAATAAATTTTTAAAATTTTAATTAAACACCCTGTATTTGTAGATGTACGTACCCTACATTTATAGAGGACGATTTTTAAGAGGGTATAAACTATTAAGAAGGCTTTTATTTTGTTTATTTTAAAAGTTACATAAAAAAACAAAATTTGACCTTGGATTCATTACACGGACTGCGGTCAGAATTAACGCACGGACTGTGGTCAGATTCGACGCACGGACTGCGGTCAGATTGAATGCACCGACTGCATTCCGATAGAAAAAATCTGAAAAATTGTTTTTTTTTTGTTTTAACGCTGGTTTTAAATCTAGAATTTAATTTAATGCATATTAAATTTGTAGAAGCTGAAAAAGACTTTCTAAGACCGTAAAATCCACGTCCGGAAGACGTGCGCCACACGGGCGTCACGTAGACGCTTGGCGCATGAAAAATGGCGCAGATTCAAAAATAATTACACGCCTCTTTGACTGGAACAATTTCAATGTGAAAGGAACTAATTTATTGGCACCCTCGACGCGTCCTCGGCGAGTGCGTGAGAGTGACACATCAATCAATCCGTAATACATGCGCTCGCGTAAAATTCACGAGACTGCGCGCCAAAATATCCCCGGCCTGTTTGGGTTTGCAAATTTGCCGACAACTCACAAACAGAGTGCCTTTACTCTACCGCCGAAATCGAATGAAAAGTACCCGGAACGAATCCATGCACTGTGAATACGTGTGTGTGTGTGTCGGGGTAGTCGCGGTCCGACATGACGAATCGCAATAATTTACATAACAAATGGTCCGAACGCCGAGGAACCGATGCCCACTATTATGTTCGCGTGCGTCGCGCGTTAATGCCACCGCTCATATTATGCCAGCTCCCGGGGGTGAATAAATCTGTCCGGTGCGCGTTTATGTATGTGTGTTTACATTTATCTCATACTCACCCTCTCTCATCATACGTGTCATTACTTCATTCACTTCATTATACATATCACTTTATTTCCAGCGTGTAAAATGTATAGAATTCAAGTGTAGAATATTGATTTTTGTGCAGATACACAAAAAATAAATGCGTCGTCGAGTTTACAAGTTTTTAATATTTATTGAGTTAGTTCTGGGCGGAATTTGCATCGGCGATGAAGATAAACCGAATCCGGCGACCACAAATCACGCCACCGACAGTTGTAATAACACTGAAACAACATTCGGGGACATAATTTTAAAAGCGTGTCACTTTTATGACTCGGAAACTAGATAAGTTTTGGTCGGATTGCTCGTCGCCGAACTCCGGGCCAAGTTTTCCGGTTTTCCGCTCAAATTTCAGAGAGGTGTGCGCAAGAAAAGCAAAGAGTCGAGTGAAGCGGAAACTCGACTCTCGTGAATCATCAAAACATCATAAAATAATAATAATTATACAAAAAACAATTTTCACTCAATAAAAGCCCCTTTGTGATTTTCATGGCGTTGAAGATATTTAAATGCGCAAATACACAATATTGGCGAACTAAGAGACAATCAAATATTAATTAATCCACGCCGGATGTGAGCGCGGCGGTGTTGGTTCATTCTGGACTGGAATTGCGTCTGCGAGTAAATATTTGGCGTTCTGGCTCGTTCGATTACTGCTCCTTGCGCGCACGTGTTTTAAATCGAACAAATAGAACGAGAAATTTTGCGACCCGTCAAATCGATATTCTAAATCCACGTCTGGCATGCTGCGATTACGTAAATTGATTAAAAATACTCCAACTCTTCTTAAATTTTCACTGCAATGCTTATTCAAAGCAGCTAATAAAAATTTAACAAACAATGCAAAACGTTTTTACGTGCGAGTGTTGCAAATGATAAAAATACCGCAAAATGGCCGATAAAGCTCGCTCTTAAAAAGAAAGGCGTTGGTGGTGGCGGCAATGTCGTGAAATTTTTAAAAACGCAAAGAAGTCATCCCCCAAGAGAACGATTAGTGCGCTTTTTTGTTGCGCCTTTCGCGCACTGGCCATAATCGTTGTATCTTACGGCGCCCGCATGCATTGGGTTATAATTTATATTTCAATTTCGCTCGATGGGCGGGTTGGCAGCAAACGAGCCGCGCGAGCACAAGAAAATGTGGCAAACAGAGTAAAATTGAACACTGCGCGGCGAAAAAATAACGCCCCGAAAGAAAAGCGTGCGGAACAGAAAAATCGAGGACATTATAAAGTTCTTATCTCGTAATTAAATCTACCATCTACATCTCTCGGCTAGATTAAATTTTTAAAATACTGCCACGTCAGTTTACATAATCCTCGAGCAAGATAAAAGATAACAAACAAAGAAAACGCAATAAAAAACTAAAAATTATACATTTTTAGAAAAGTACAAGTTGCACGGACTGCGGTCAGATTAAGTACACGGACTGCAGTTAGATTCAACTTATGCACGGACTACGGACAAAACCTTAAGCAAATTTTAAAAAAATCAAAGGAAAATAAAACTGATGCATATTCTTCTCTTGTTTCACTGTAAATAAAATAATATTACTTCTAAGAATATTAAATCACTGAATATTGGCTTATTCTTAAGAGAAGATCCTGTTTACAAGCTAAATTCGCAGAATATGAATGCAGTCGCTTGTAATCAAGCATGTAAATTCTGTTTAAATTCTAAAAATACCGCAAACCGCGGTTGCATATGAATAATAAATCTACATATTTCAGCTCATGTCACAATAGAAAATGCAACGCAATACAAGATTCCAGTAATGTTTCTGTTCAAAAAATAAAAACAAAAACTCCAGTTTTATTATTTCGGTTGTAATTTTTTTACGGCAACCTATTTATCTGATACAAGTCTAAGTTTAGAGTCAAGAGCACTGTCGCATCTTGGTTGACAAAGATACGTTGTACTATTTGCGACTGCGGGAGGTGGTTTGACTGCCTTTGAGCGGAGTATTGCAGTAATTAGTCAAACCGTGACTCGTGACGCGCGCGCCTCGCAACCCTTCCGATGTAATGAACATTTTCTTTGTTCCCCGCGTTGTGTAACTTTATCACTCTTGTATAAACCAGGTGTAGTTGTAACTTTTTCCATTCCACACTAATTAAACATCCATACCTGATTAATTAGATTTGATTCGCTGTGATTGAGTATGTTCATCAGTCTAGTTGGACATCGTCTAAAGATATCATAACATGAAGTTGTAGATGGATATATGTAGGTTGATATTAATCACTTGCTGTGGTTCGCAGGTGTCGTGGATGCGAAAGCGAGACTTGCACATCCTCACGTCCGGCATCCACACGTACACCGGCGACGGGCGATTCAGCGTCCGACATCCGGAACACAGCGACGACTACGACCTGCGCATCGAGTACGTGCAGAAGCGCGACGGCGGCGTCTACGAGTGCCAGGTCAATACAGAACCCAAGATCAACATGGCCATCATGCTGAATGTCGAAGGTATGTGTGTTTGCACAATGGCGGCCCCCGCCCTCACAACACAAAGCAATCTCTATTTCCTTTGATAATGCCACAAAACACGAATAATATTTACAATACAGATTCCAGCCCTCGTGAGACGAGCAGGCCTCATACCTTACATCTCACCGCTTGTAGAGTTGTAGGACACGACATGTTAACATGGATCAGGACCATCTACAAAGACCCCCAACATCCACACGTCTATACTTCCTCTAAACATGCTACAAAACATACAGATCGTTTCAAAAATCATCAACAAAGCAACCAAATAAACACAATTTTCATACATGCGTATAACCATTACACAAAAACGAAAAATTACAATTACATTGATGGAAAAAAAAGAGATAAAAAGAGATGTAATCAAAAACTAACATTATCCGAGCTTAGAACTCATTGTATTCGAATTTCTCACGAAACCTTTCATTGTGCCGATAAACCTGCAAGCTCAGTATCCCCGTATCTTTATCTGTTTATGGCAAGGAACACAAGCACGCTCGCGTGTATTTCATCTCATGGAGCAAACAACATTTATCCGCCATTGAAATCATTTCGTTGACGTTCTTAATCTGTTTCCTGTGTGGACCTCCTTTTGATGCCTCATCCCGCCCCTTTTTTCGAAGACATGTATTCATTAAAATCCAGTTTATTTCGTTTTAGTCGCCTATATAATTAGTTCAGTTCTGAGGCAGTGCTGTGCTGAAACGTTTTGTTGAATTTTTTTGTTACAGACACGTCTTCCCTTGCTGCCACGCACCCCGGCCCGCGATCCACAGGTACCTCGTTCCCTCACGCACACTGCTTCTCTCATCTCATCTCATGAAAGTTCTCCAACATTTTAGCTAGTTTTCTGTGTGCAAACACTGCTTTTTAAACAAGTCACAAAGTTAAGGGTGGAAAATAATCCAGAGCGTAGTTGAAAAATTCTAGGCAAACATTAGTCGCTTTTCCTAGCATGACGGTAATGAACAATTTTTTTTCTTCCTTTTGAGGTTTTTAATTAAATTACCCTTTCACCTTTCTCCCCCATCAAGGCTTACACATACACATATTAAAATTTTTATTAAAAAATTTTACTTATTTGAATTTTTTGTCATTACAGATGCACAAGCGACCATTTCCGGTCCAGGAGAGGTGTATGTCAAGAAGGGTAGTACGATATCACTGACATGCTCAGTGAATGTCCACTCAACGCCCCCGTCTAGTGTACTTTGGTATCATGGCCACGCCGTGGTTGATTTTGACTCCCCACGAGGTGGCATCAGTTTGGAAACAGAAAAAACCGAAGCGGGTACTACCAGTAAACTCCTGGTCACCAAGGCGCTCATTTCGGACTCGGGGAATTACACCTGTATGCCGTCCAATGCCAGTCCTGCTTCCGCCATTGTGCATGTTCTTAATGGTAAGCACAATATTAAATTTTGACTTTTAATAATGTTAAAGTTGATGAAAAAAAGGGTAAACGTGATGACACTGATGAAAAATAAAACTCGACGGGCCGAAGCGTAAACAGCAAACGCACGGATGCGAAAATTGCGCCCTGAAAACACGATAAGACAAGGTGGTGGTGGTGTAGGTGTGCGCTGTGCGCGAGATGATTAAAGTCGGATAAGGGTAGGTAGTTATCGTTGAGAAATTTTCTCATAAGTGATGAAAAATTCCCGCGAGCTTTCGGGCGGAAGTCGGGTGCGCGCCTGGCAAAACATCATCAAGCCAACATCAACACCAAACGCCAACCCTCTCATCACCAACCGGCAGCCATTTTTTTCTACCGGGAAGCAATGTGAGCTGATTTTAGGAGGGGTTGAGGTTGTTTGTAAGGGGGATGAATGTCTATAATGGACGAGAAAGTTCCGATATTATGTGCGGCAACCGCAAGCACTTCCGCTAAGTTTAATTAAGCTCCTTGGGTTAAAATTCAAGGAATTCCACGTGTTCCCACAGCAATTATTTTTCTACATTATACCTCATCTCATGTGATTAATACGTTTGTAAAACTACTAATACCAATCTGAAACGCAATTATCCATATTCCCTGGGACCCAGGTCCCTCTCCTAAAATGAGGTTAGGAAGCTAAAACAAATAGTAGGGGCTCAAGCCGAGTGTGTGCGGTATTGTGAATAATAGCGATTTATCGCGCGGCGGGCCACTAATGGATTGCGATTATCTGTTTCAGGCGAGCATCCGGCTGCGATGCAGACCAGCAGGGCTGTGCCCGGCAAGCAGATGGCCCTCCTTGTCGCGCTCGCCATGCTCATGGTGACCGCAGTGAGATGATCTCATCAGCTGTAATAATCGCCTGCTACGTATTTTTCAACCCCCCACAAGACTCCATCGCGGGTGTCTGTGCCGCACCCGTAATGAACCCATAGTCGGCGCCCGGTGTAAAAAACTAATCACAAAGTTAATCAGTGCGAATGGAATGGAGCCGCAAGAGATGGGATGAAGTGAAATCAAGTGAAGTGGATATCCAAGGGACATAGTGTGTCTGTTTTTTGACTCTAGGGAAATTGTTATTATTTCGGTGCTAAAAACAATTCAGTGGATACACAAACCGGAAATGAAAGCGCTGCCTACGTTTAGTACTTATTCATTGTGATTACTATTATTACATGTTGACAATTATGTAGTGAGAGAAAATGCAAACATCATTGTTAGTTAAAAAGAAGAAGAGAAAAACTTATTCAAATTTTCAAATTTTATTTTTCGCTATTTATCTCTGTACATAAACCAAACCCACAAATTATTAACACTCAAACAAATTAAAGGACTCTTTGCGTAGACAAATGTTTGTTTTGTAAAACTTTATAATCTCATCCTTAAAACATTAACAATATCGAGTAACGAGTAACACTTAAAATCTAAGTACTGAGTGTTTTTTAAATCAGAATGGATGAATGTGAATCAAAAACAAATGCACACTGAACACTCACACAGAACAAAAACACTAAATAACATTTAAACAAAACAAAAAAAAATCTACGTAAACTAAACGGACATTGTTGTATCTATCAAAAATTAAAGCAAAAAAAAAAACTAATAATTATTGTAAACGGGATGATATTGAATTACGAAAACAACTACGATTGTATATAATTAATTCTTAAGTGAATAAATGAACTAGTTCATATAAAAATTGTCTATACTTTAAAATACTGTACTTTATACACTGTTTTCAGAAAGTGTTAGTTTAAGTTTCTGTTCTAGTTCTAGTTTGAGTTCTAGTTTTAGCAACGTTGTTTAATTCATGACCGTGTTTTCCAACTAATTCCGACTTCAACCACTTCGTCTCATAGGGCGTATGGCACGTTTTCCACACATCGAGGCTGTGCGTGTACGCCTCGGATCTGATAAAATGCAAATGCCGCCTTTTTGTCGCGCACGTTCGCCACGCGCCGCATTAGATTCCTCGCATAATTAACGCGCATTGTATCGCAACACGTTTAACCTCTACTATGCTTCGTCTTACCGAGGAAATATTTCCGTGCGACAATGAAATATTTCGCATGCATGCAAAAATAGAGATTGAATTACAAATTTTTCATTTTTTATTCCGTTTCTTTGTCTTTTTTGTCCTTGGAAAAGGTAAAAATAACAAAATCTTGACAGCTTTAATAATTGTAGCTTTTGTGATACAAACAAAGCTTTCTGATGGACAGGATAAACAGGATAACAGGATAGTGTCCGTTGCAATTAGCCGGAGGTTATTTGCAAGTGACGCTGATGACATGACGGACACGAAGTGGAAGCGACCGGAAGTTTGCTCGACTGCAGGTACAACTACTGTCCCACAAACATCACAATAGTCAAATGTTTACTTTGTCACCCCTTGATATAGACTCTAGATTTTGATTTGTAGAAGAATAAAAAATTTAAAAAGAAAAATTATTCTTGATTTTATCGAGGGTGGTAAAATTTAGCGTAAATAATCGGCGAATAAAATGCTTTTCTTTGCGTTTTTTACCCTCGCGCGCGCGTCAGGGGTAGTTAGGGGTATATAAGCTCGGCACGAATCATTAACTTCCATTAGTGCATTTTGCCTCTCTAACTGCGGTCAATCAAAGAGTGCATTGTTACACGATTTCCATTAGCTCCACCAAAGAATACACGGGGGTTGTAAATTTTACATTCGAAAAAAAAAGAAGTACACGTGTTTAGGGATTTTAAAGAAAAAATGGTTGTTTGTAAAGTAGGTTGACGATCGAAATGTTTACGTGATAACGTCTTATTGGTGATATAAGTTTTTTGTTGCAACTGTTGTAACACTTCACTTGCACTTCACATTTTGTGTCACTGTTAAACATTCAACGAAAACTTAACCGCACGAGAAAATCTCCATTCGTTTGTATGCCGCTAGAGTGAGAGAGACGGAAGATCGGTCAACTCACTCGAACGCTATGCCTGCCTCCGCTCGTGTGGATTCCGCGTGACAAGTTTCACGGAATGACTGGCAGCGCTCGAGATGAGACGGGAGATCGGTCCGTCTCTCTCGTTATAGCGATCGACCTCGAGAGGCCTCGTGACAAGTTTCTGAACATGTCACCCGACTAAAACGATTTTAAAGACGTCATCACGCCAAATTTTTTTTATTGTTTTAGTAGTGTTTGGACATAAAAGTTAAAAATTGTTTGTTTTAAAGATAGCGCTGGACATGCAGGACGCAATTAACGACAGGCGAGAGCAAAGCGATGTTGTCGGTGTGTCTTGTACTTAAACCGGACACATTCGTTGCGTCCGGGTCCACTCCCCGGTCTCTATCCGATGGGGATATAATTTATGCTCTTGTAATAACTTACAATGTACATTCAGCTGGGACATTTGGAATTAGGCCAAAGGCAAACAGCACTTTGCGGGACCGCACGATTTTATGCTTTGCCCCCACCTACCCCTTTCTCTCACTTCTCACTCATCCCCGGTGCGCGTGTAGTTGTAGCTGTAGCTTTAGCCGGGGATAACATGAATTCACAGCGTGTTCGCATCTTGCACTCGCGAGCTTTCGAGGGCGGTTTTGTGCGCTTCATGTTCATGAACAACCAACCCCCGCATGCTGCATGCATCGCTCCGGACGTCGTACGTTCTGATTTCCCACTCGACAAATCCTTACCAAAAATCACACGGAAATTGCTCTTTAATAATTTATACCAGAGAGCTTTCTATAACCACAAAATAAAACCGAACTAAAAGGGAGAATATGTTATGGTCACGTAAAAATTAAAATACATTCTACAGTGGCTGACAGTTGATGTATTTAAATTTTTCTCTCCTCGTGCGGAATTAATTCGAAAATCGCTGAATCGTGATTCCAGCTGCAGTCACCTCCGCCGCATTACGCCAGAAATATGTTTTTAATTTCCTAATTCCGTGCATGTCAGCTCGCGCACCACAAACGCCCCCGGTGGGCCCAGTGGGAAGAGGTCAACCCCCTCGCGCACGCAATAAATTTGAACCCTTTTGTCATCAAGGATTATTACGAGATTACTGCAGTTAATAACCTGGGCTCCGCTTTCGAAAAACGCGCTTCGCCCTATCCACCTCCCGAAAACCGCCCTGTTCCGGTGCTTTTTTTGAGCGCGAGTTGAAAAACGTAAAAAGCTGGAAAAATACAAAACGCAAACGCAATTTCCACGCAAACGCCGCTTCGTTGTTTACGGCTGTTGCGCGCACCCCGTTCAGCCACCCCCAAGGAAGGTGAGTCCGCTTTTATAATATTTATAACGCGCGCGTTTGTACACACTTTCCAATTTCAGGCGTACGTCGAGGTTTTTTTTATTCGTAAAAATATGAAAATGCGAAAAAAGAAACGAAAATAAAATCCAATTTTTGTAAGTTTTTTTAGAGTACAAATGCAAACAAAGTGGCAATTTGCATAAATAAAGTTAATTTCTCTCAAACAATAATTACACAGCAAAGTTACTTACTGAGAAAATAAACATCTGTTGTTGAATTAATTACAATTCAATTTCGTTATTCATTAAACCATTTATTAAAATGATGGAAGTAAATTTTATTTTAAATATTTAATTAATAGAAAATAATTGTTAATTATTTATGGAATTAATTTGTTTTATTTGTAAATAAATCTATAGTTTAATCAGAAATAAAAAAAATAAATTTATGGTGGAGGCGCCTTTCAAAAAAAAAAAACTTAAAAACAAACATTCCTGGTACAAATCTCACGTTTGCGCAAATCACACATTCACACAATTTATTTGTAAGCTGTAATCCGTATTATTCTAAAGTAAAGCTTTGCTTTATTTCGAATGGAAGGTTTTTTGGTGGAGGCGCCGAGCGCTAGGCTGAGAATCAATGTTTGGGGTAGCACTAAATGGCATACATATAACATGACCACATTTCCATATGATGTTGTTGCAGGAAATGGGAAAACTAAAAGCAAATAATCCCGACTGCCCTCGCCAATCCCAGGAAAAGCAAGTGGGCTTTGAAGCAATTGAAAAAATATCAAAATAATGTGCTTAAACTTTTGATATTCATGATCGTCGTGATGAGGGTTGCAATGGTCATCATGAAATAATTTGTTCGTAACGAATGTAATAAAATCCTCGATTTTGTCGCCGCTAATCCGGCCCCACCAAACTCTCGTCCCCGCGCGCGTTGTGATTAATGGCGCTAGTCAGAGCTTAACTTCCAACATGGTCGGCGGGCGGGGATTTATTTTTTCCCGCCCGATTAACAACTCTCCGGCGACTTTTTCTTTTATTTTTGCTGGTCGGGGGCGCGTCGACATGCCCTTTTCCGGTTTTCCGGAAGTGGTATAAAATAACAAGCTTTTACAATGAAAAAAAAATCAGCGCAGCTCAGTCAGAAGCAATTAATATGCTTTTTGAGTTTATGCAGCGGCCGTAAATTGTTGAGCTTCCCTTTAAATGGTGATCTGCGTCTCTCATGATGAAAATTGAATGGTTGACGACTTAACGAAACGAAATAATATGAACGGGTCAACGCAGCGTCGGATGACTCCCGATGACTCTTAATCTCAATTCGAAAGCATCGTTTGGCTTTAATCAGTTCGAGGAGTAATGCCGGGCCTATGCCATTGCTGGGCGCCTCCACCATTTGGCTGCTGCGCCCCATATCTCCGCTTGCTTTATGTGCACTTAAAGTTAATGAGTTAGAATGAAATAGATTTTTCTGCTAGTCGTAAAACGGTTATAGGAAAATACTTAGGGAGGACGCCGATCTTATCCGTTAATCCTTTTTACGGTACCGATAAGTAAATTGTGCTGCTGGCGGACCGTTAACTATCCGTCGCGCCAGCCGGCGACGTTCGGGGATCAGCGGCGTTCGTTGACGTCGTTTTATTTCAACGTTTCAGCGTCTCAAGTTTTCGAGTTTTCAAGCAACGGCGGAAACTTTACGGACAAGAAATGAGCACTGACATTTACAGCTACTTCTTTTTGTTTTTATTTCTGATATAACTATTGCAAAAACCGGAAAAATGCAATTTTGTTCATTCTGCGGTTTGCAATATGAAGAAAATTAAGTGTAAACTGTAGCGGAATATATTCAGCTATAGTTTGT